CAGGGTTCCAGTTTCTCCACAACCTCGCCAGCATTTGTTGCTTGCTATTCTGTTAAATTTTGCTATTTTGACTGGGGTGAGATGATATCTCATAGTTGTTGACCCTATCATTAATGACACCCCTCCTCCTTGCCCATCCTCACCCCTCTGCTCCCCCATCTCCCCTCTTTGGATCCTCATACTCATTTTATAATAATTGTCTTATACAGCATTTGTCCTTATGGGACTAAGTTAGTTCACTTAACATAATGCTCTCCAGTCCCTGCCAAGCTAGGTAGAAAGTTACAAAATCGTTGCTCCTGTGTCTTGTGTAGTATTCCATCATGTACAATACATTCCATTGTGGTTGGACATTTGGGCTGTTTCCGTGTTCTTGCAATGGTGAATAATGTTCCTGTGAACATTGATATACAAGTCTCTGTTTGTGCCTCAGTCCTTATTCTCTTGGGGTATATTTCAAGCAGTGGAATAGTTGGGTCATATGGAACAACAAGCATTTATTACATGACAGTCTGGAGACCAGAAGTCTGGACTGGGACTTCAGCAAGACCACAGTTTCTCCAGAGACTCTCCATGAAGATATCTCTGTGTCTCTTCTGGCTTCCAGTGGTCCCAGGAGTTCCTTGGATTGTGCCCAGGAAACTTCAGTCTTGGCCTCTGGCTTCACATAGGGTCCTCCTTCTATCTGCCCCTGTCTCATATGTCTCTTCTCTTTTATAAGGCCAACATTTATAGAGAATCAGGGCCCACTCTGCTTCTGTATGACTTTATGTGAATTTGATTACATCTGTGAATACCCCATTTCCTAATTAGACCACTTTGTTCACAGGTAGGTAGGGGGTTAGAACTTGGGCGTATCTGTCTGGGTGCACAGTCTAGCCCAGCATGCTGAGAAGCAGAGCGTGAAGGTGGAGCCTCTAGACATACAAGTGTGGGTGTTGTGTGGTCTAGGGAAGGCCAGTGGGGCTGGTCCATGCTTGGTTTTATTTTCTTTTTCTTTTTGTAAAATGCAGAAAATCAAGCCAGATTCTTTACTGTGGCCTCCGTGGTTAGAACCACATCAGAAGCAGGAGGAAAGCATTTTAGAAATTAGGATCTGTTCCATTTAATGGACTTATGTGTCTCCAGGAGCAAGTGCAGCGATGCTTGCTGAAACCCACTTTTCAGGGAGTGGTAACATTTGTTGTTTGTTTCTTTCTGTGAGTTGGGAGAAATGAACCAATGTTTGGACAAGTGGAGATGGCAGCTGTCACTTGAACTCCAGCAGCAGTCCATGCCTCCTGTGATCTGCTTCTCTTGTCCTGGTGTGCTGCTGATTGGGTGCCAGGGGATGGTAGGGAAGGTCTTTCTCCACTGTGTACAGTTGTTGTTTGAGAAGTAAGCTGGGGGCTTTTACTCCAGCTCTGTGAATTTGCACATGAAGAATCCGTCTGACTTCTTACAATGACCTGAGGTCACTGGCCTTGTTGACTAGGATCTTCAGGGACCCCAGTGTGCTGAGGAGGAGCCTGGCTGGGCAGTGAGTGAAAGATAGGGGTGCTGGGAAGGATGGGAACTCCATGAGAGGAGAAGTCCAGGGTTCTGTGCAGTGTGAGTACGGAGGCTGTTTTACCAGGGATGCTGTACTTCTCCAGGGCAGTGACCTGGTCTCTCATGGTAGCCGCTTCCAAGCCCTGGGTCAGGGGAAGGAATGACTCTATGGGATACAAGTCAGATTTTAAAAAAGATTTATTTTTAAAAATCTAGGCAGGTCAGATAATGCTGTATTGGGAAATCTACATACAGAAATCCATACCAAGATTCTCCAAAAAGCCATTGGGACATCGAGTGTAACCTGGGTAGAGATCTGTGAGTGTTAGTGCCTGATGAGGGCTTATGTGCTTGGTGTGCATGTGCCAAGATGTGTATTCAAGAGATTGAAAGACATGTCTAATCTATGATGGACAAGAGAGGTTTGGCACTAGCAAGACGTTACCATGAAGTCAGGTGCTTGGTGTGTTTTCCCTGGTCCAGGTCACCCCACGTGGTGAAGCACTCTGGTTCTTTCCCAGAGTCCTTTGTATGTAGGATCTGGCTATCCTATCTATGGCCCCTCACAGCACCCAGGATGTCATCCACGTGAGAGTCATGGAGAGGTGGGAGTCTGTGAGCTGACATAGCCTCTCACTTCCTTCAGCGTTCGAGGCTGTGTGGATGTGGACCAGTGCGTGCTTTTGGATCAGCAAGTTCTGAGGCTGAGGCCATGTGTGGAGCTGGGAGGATCATGCATGAGGGTCTGCAGGCAGTACTGGCATGGCCCAGAGGGGCTGGTTGATTGTTTGATGGCATCTATCCCAAGAAGGTGGCATTGCTTGGGGGGATGACCGCCTAGGGCAGGGGTTATAGAAGGAGCGAAAGAGGTCATGTGAATTCGGCTGGACTGTGCCTTTAAAACCATGCGCGATCCTGTAGCGCCCACCTCAGAGCTAGCCTGCAGGAGACAGGAAGTCCCTCACCCTGATACATAAGGAGTATGGAGGCTTCATTGCCACAGCACAAGGAAGCGATGCTTTTTCCTCCCCGTCCCTACTCTGAGTCCTCCAGACTTGGCAGAGGCTGGCTGCTGCAGTAAGAGGAAGAGAAAGGGGTGCCCCTTTACCCAGTGGGCCCCAAACCGCAGTCCACCCTGAGATGGGAACTGGCACAACCGTAACTGGAGGAGAAGACAGTGACATTAGCGTAGACATGGCAGTGCCTGAGAGAAAGTCATTGCTGAGCAGGACCATTCTCACAGTGTGGGTGACCAGAACTCCTAGCCAGAATAGCTGTTTGTGACCACACTAAATGAGTCTATTGCCCAGGCTCAGGGACCCCTCATGAATCTTCGGGACTGCAGTGCAACTTCTTGCCACTAGGCCCTCAGAGCTCCCCCCTCATGAAAATCTTATCCCCTGTGCTGAGGTAGGGAGTGGAGACCTGAGATCAAGGTGCTCCATTGGATCAGGGTAAGCAACTCCACAGCCAGACATTTGTTCAGGTCTGGTTCCCCCTTAAGCAGACGGCTTAATCTCTGTCTCAGGTCCTCACTTGTGGACAGCCCCGAGTACCTGTGGATGGACATGGTGCGTGGTGCTCCAGGTGCAGGGCACTGCACCACACCAAGCTTTCTTGTCCCATAGTCAGTGTACAAGGATCCGGTCACCACAGTGTCAGTCTCTTCTCACTCTGTGCACTAGGACATCCAATGCCTGCCGGCCTTCACCTGCCTGTCCTGTGGCTCCGTGGACACTCTGGTGGTTTGATTCAAGGAGCCAGGGCCCACTCTCTCACATACCCCTCAGTAGAGAGGAAAGGAAGGCCACAGCCAACGACATCTTCCTCATTTTCCCTCTTGCCATTGCAGTAACCCCACCACTCTGTGTTTCTGGAACCTTGCACTCAGCAAGTCGGAGAAAAGACTGTGACGGTGGAGGCCCTGGCCTGGTCGGAGGTGGGACAGTCAGCATGGAGCCCTCCAGCCCCAGGAAGCTGAGCTCTATGCAGGAGGCTGGCTTTGGGATGCAGCCCAGGAAGACCTCAGACCTGGGGGTGGTCCCACACAGCAACGGTAATAACAACCCATTCAAGAGAAAGAAGTCGCAGTCTGCCTTTATCAACAGTGAAAAGGTAAGCTCCCAATGCCATCGATGCCATCGGAGCCCGTTTGCGTGACTGCACGGGCAGCAAAGGAGATGAATTGGGCCTTTTGTGGATAATCAGTGATCTCCCCAGGGGCAGGTGTCATACCTGGGCAGAGCTTGCTGATGTAGAGCGTCCTGTTCAGAACTGTCCTTCAGGAGCAGACAGTTGGAGGAAATAAGGGCCAGAAAATAAAAGTCTGTTCCTTTGCACGCATGAGCCTTCCTTCTACAACATCTGTCTGATTGGGAAAGCGCTTACCAAACCCTGAAGCCCTGGGCTGGCCTCACAGAAACTGTCACTCTCTTCACCAGCTTGCACGACAATTTCACATCCTTGATTTTATTAGGACAGAGCTAGAGAGAACTTGAAGTTTAGGGCTGAGTTCACAAAACTATTGGTAAGAATGGACCGGATAAACCTGCTGGAATCTCACTGTCACCAGGTAGGTTGCTCTTGAGCCAACCACGATGCGTGGTGACCTCATGTGTGTCTGAGTAGACTGTGCTCTATGGAGTTTTCAGTGGCTAGCTTTGAAAGTAGATTTCCAGGTCTTTCTTCTGAGGTACCTTTGGGCAAATACAGACTGCCGACCTTTTTGTTAATCCAGCAGAATGGCATGCCCTTCACTTAACTGCTGTGGAAATTTCTGCCTGCCTCCTTCAAGGAGAAAAGGCAGGCATCCCGACACTTTGGCCAGCATACTGTTCCCAAGGAATGTGATGGTGACTTTTACACTGTAAACAGCAGTGCAAATTCAAATTGAGCTGAAGGGAAGATTATTTTATATATGTGTCCCTCCCTCTTGATTCCACTCTGAATAGCCTTTTTGAGCATGGGTGGTTTTAACCTTTGGGGTGAAAATTACCTGGATTTCACTTTTCCAAACAAAAATTTAATTCCATTTGTTGGAAGACCAGTGCTTAGAGAGATAATGGATTTGCACACATTCAAATCTGAGTGATTTTTATTGTGTGAGGATCTGAGAGTGCCTTTTTTTACCCTTAGAAAGAAAACTTCAACTCATGGATTCTTGAAAAAATCAAGAAGAAAGAATGTATGTATTTTGTCGAAAGTTCCAAAATGTCGGATGCAGGGTAAGTGAAGTTCTATTTTTTTTAAAATACTATGTTTTTAAGCCCCTCTCTCCTTCATCTCTGTCTCTGTCTTCCTTTCTCAGGAGGACTTTGATCAGATGAGGCTGACTGAGGACCAGGCAGAGAGAGGGTCCCTACTGTTGTTGTTAGCTACTGTGGCATTGGTCTCTCACTTGTGGCTACCCCAAGTATGATGGAACACACTATTGCTTGGCTCTTTGACATTGCCATGGTCAACTGTGAACTGATAATATAATCTGTTACAATATATGTGTTATAATATGCTTAGGGTTTCCATTGGCTGATTTTGAGAAGTAGATAATCAGACCTCTTTTCCTGGTTTGTGTTCACTGGACTCTCCACTAAAACCTGTCCTGTGTCCTAGCGGTTGTACCCCACTGGCACACATTAGCCACAGTGGGTGGTTATGTGTGAGGTGCAGTGGTCTCGATTGAACCTGGGCCTCCTGACTGGAAGGCGAGTATTCTACCATTGAACTGCTAACGCCTTGAGTCCATCCTAATGACCCCTTACATATGCATGCATGTGAGCACTTCCAGCCATTCCTACCAGTTCTAAGTGGGAGATGTTCTCCCTCCTCCTGCTTGCACGTGAGGAAACTGAGGTGTTCAAAATGCAGATGAGTGACATATACACGATGGTACTTGAATCTTACATGCTTTTGTTTGTTGTCTGTCTAGATCATATTGCTGTAAGGGATAGAGAAGCCCACAGACCAAGCCCTTGTACTAGTGGGATTCTGAGGTTCAGAGGGGGTCCTTGACTTGTTTCACAGCCCCACCATGATGTCTTTGCCTCTCCCCATCCCTTGAGCCTGCTGTGCATGTCTACCAAGCTGTCCCCCCAAGGGTAGCAGTGGCTGTTTTGTGTCCAAGCTGCTGGACTTGGTACTTCTGGGCTGGTGGCTTCCCAGTAAGGACTGCCCACCAGTGAGTTCAAACTGTCAACTTTAGTTTAGTACATGAGCATGGACTTCGGCACTCAGGGATTTTGGCAGGTCATCACCTTCCTTTTAAGGTCCAGATTATCCCTCTTCTGCTGCTCTATTTCCACTCCCTGCCCCTCTTTGTCCCCACCTCATACTTGTTTTCTGTCATTTATACATCTTCTATTCCAAGATGTCCTGCAAATGTGTCACATTCTTTGCTATTTCTAGCACTTCTTCTTTGTCCCCTGATAAACTTCTATTTGGCCTCCAAGGCCTAGAGCAGATGTTACATCTGCTGTGAAACCTTCTTTACCACAAAGCTCTGCCAGGAAATAACCTTTCTTTTTGCCATTCCTTTTATGGTAATCTTTTTATAAACTGGTTGTCAGTTATAAATGTGTGGTTCTGCGTTTATTTCTCTTTAGCTGCTGTTCCTCGGGTTCCTTGGGTACTAGGACCAAGCCATGACCATTTTATTATTGCCTGTGTTGGGCACATAGCTGGTATCCAATGAGTATCTGTTGAGTGAGGGAACTAATCAATGACACAATGAAAGAAGAATATCTCATGGGAGGAATGAGAAGAGGGCTATGATGTGAACTAAAATGTGGATTGTCAGATGTGATAGTGTCATTTCCTGAGCTTGAGACTTACAGCCCTGTGTGCTGTGCATGACCATGGCACCACTGCTGAAAAATACCCTTTGTCCATGCTATGTCCTGTCTCTATACCTTTTCAATCTGTATACAGAACAGATAATCCATGGAGTTCATGAGGAGAAATGTGGCATCAGAATTGGAGGAAGACTCATCAACAACCTGCACTTTGCAGATGCCACATTCTTGCTTGCTGAAACTGAGGAGGACCTGAAGCATTTGCTGCAGAGAGTCAAGGACTATAGTTCGTAATATGGATTGAAGCTCAACATCAAGAAAACACAGATTCTCACCACTTGACCCATTGGCAGCACCATGAGAGGTGGAGAAGAGATTAAGGTTGTTAACAATTTCAGCTTACTTGGGTCCACAATCAACACTTTTGGCACCAGCAGTGAGTAAATAAAAAAACAAATTGCATTAGAAAAATCAGGGTCCTCTCCAGAGTGCCAAAGAGTGATGTCAGTCTAGAGATTACGATGCACTTGACCCAGGCCATGGTCTTCACAATTACTTGCTATGCATCAGAGAGCTGGGCAATGACTAAGGAGACAGAAGAAGCATTGACGCCTTTGAGTTGTGGTGCTGGAGAGGAGTAATGAATGCAGCATGCATTGCCAAGAGAACGAAAAGGTCCATCCTGGACAGGGTGAAACCAAGGTGCTCCTTGTAGGCAAGGATTTTGAGACTCTGTCTCACATACTTTGGCAATGTGGCCAGGAGGGACCAGTCTTTGGAGAAGGATATGTTGCTTGGAAGAGTGGAGGGACAGTGCAGGAGAGAAAGAATCCAGATGAGATAGATTGACACAATAACTGGGGTAATAAGAGTAAGTATGTCAGAGATAGTGAGATTGGCTCATGATGGAGTAGGATTTAGAGCTATTGTGCATAGGGTCGCTATGAGTTGTGGTCAGCTCAACAGCACATAACAAAAACAACAATACTTATGCCATTAATCTAGCCTCTCTTAAGAAACAAGCCCTCATTTCTTGCCGAGTGACTCTAGAGCAGACCCTGAGCTTGAGAAAATTGCCCTGTGCTTCAGCCCACAGCATCACAGCTAGTCAATGCTAATGGCCGCATATGTGGTCAGAGCTTCTTGCTCAGAACAGGCTATTCTGACCTGCAGAAAGCACTTGCTGCTAAAATCTCCAGTTGCAACTATTTTAAAATAATCTCAGAGGGAATGTGTGATTCACATGCTTTCAGTTATAGTAACTACTGGGTTCATAAACATTTTGAAGATGGTATTGAAGTTGTTTTATTTCTGGCTTATTTGGGGTTGAGGGCATCAATTAATTGCACTTCTTTCTCCCATTGAATCCTGAGTGAAGGAGCCAATAAAGATTGGAGTGACACGAAGGATTTGAGGCCAACATAGGCCTTCCTTTTCCACCTTTACTTTTTCCTGCTTTGAAGAAAATGGGCTCAGGATACATTTGGTCTAGAAACTTCCAGAAGTATTTTGTTAGTATAGAATTTAATACAATTCGTTTTCTTCAGGGAGATGACAGATGGAACAGTGCTCTTGTTCAGGTACTGATTTCACAGTATGCATGTGAGAAACTACATATGGGATTAAACCAAAACCAAACCCATATGGCCATTAGTTAAATTTAAATAGTAAAGACCTTCCATTGGGTTTTTGAGGCCATGTGCCTTCACAGACTGCCCTTCTTTCTCCTGTGAATTTGAACTGCCAACCTTAGTGGCCTGGTATGTTATGTATCCACTGATGTAATCAAGTTGGAGCTCACTTATAATGGACACTTTCAGTGAATTTTTTGAGGCAGTAAATTGCACAGGAGGATATTTGCAGAGCAGCTGGTGGGTTTGAATGACATGCCTTTGGGTTGGCAGCAAAATTCCTTGCCACTAAGCCATCAGAGTTCAAATTAAGGCTGAAAAAAATAGATGGAAACACCTAGGGTTATTTTATTGTGAGTACATTGCAATTTAATTGACGAGAACAATTATTATTTCTTAAGCTATATTCTGTAGAAGATCAAAGCCAGTGAAGTATATTATTTGGGTCCCAAGAACCAGAGATCAGAGGACAAAAGAAGAAAAAAAAAAAAAAACAAAAAAAAACAAAAAACAGAGATCAGAGGACAAGTCAAAAGTAGGATCAAGATAGAGTGTAAGCTTTGCCAGAACATTCATATACATTGGATATAGGTCATAACCCCAAGGAAACTCCTCTTTCACATTAGATTAAATAGAAGGTGATTATATAATACCAGCCAAACTGCTGAAGGTCATGACTGAAGGTTATGAACCAAGTTCATACATAACCATAATCACCACATGCCATTTATGAACTTATTACTATTTCCTTCTTGCTGTTGTTTGCTGGTTTTGAGTCAGTCCTAACTTGCATTGACTCTGTGAGCAGCAATAGGAAACATTGCCCAGTGTTGTATCTTCTTCATAATCAACTCTGAATCTAATAATTGTTATCTATAGGACTTCCATTGCATGATTTTCAGAAATAGGCCCCTTAGGCCTTTTTTCTGAGTCTGTTTTAGGCTGTAGGTTCTCCTAAAATTTGTTCAACCTGAGAGCAGCAGGCTCGCCTGCCCTGACAGCCAGGTGGTGGCTACACCTGAGGTGTATTGTCTAGGAATCTCACCTGGATCTCTCACATGGAAGCAAGAATTCTACCACTGCTCCAATAATATTCCATAAATCCAACACAGGGAGTCTGTAAGGGGAGATTGGATAAACACGAGTTCATCTCTTGAATAGGAAAGGCAAGGCCTCTGGGGTCTTTTTCTTGATGAAAGACAAGGCCTCTAGCACAAGGCAAGGTGAGAAGATACATGTGGACACTCAGTTCTGGCTGGGGCACTTAATAGATTCTAGTTCTCAGCTTGGTTGATTATTTTGCACTAATTCCACAAGTTCTTTTCTACTTAGAACTTCACTGACTCTCAGAAATTTTTTCAGAGTGTAGGCTGAAGGAATGTATTCTTCCCCCCACTTTAATGATTGAGAAATTGAAAATCAGAGATATCCAAGGTATCCAAAGTTATGTACCTAAAAAATGGTGGAGAAATCCAAGTTATATTTTCTTAAATGAAATTGTCTCAGGCTTCATGTGCCTTTAGAATCCCCTCCACCCTCCATTTGTATCTAGTCTTCCAGGTCATTTATTTCTGGGGGAAAAAAGTAAGAATCTAAAAATATTTATCAGTTAACCTACAGTTAAACAAGGTGTTAAGAACATGTCTGTTTAACTTCGTGTGAAACACCAGTGAAATAACAATAAAGAACTAAAAGAATTAGAAAGACTTTGAGTCAAAAAGTGAAAGAAAACATGGAAGAGGAAGTAACAGTTAAAAGAAGACTGTTAAAAATGGGAGTCACATTTTTGGTGGAAGAAATAAGAAC